ATGTTTTTAAAAAGAAAATACTAGAAAACAAAGGGTAACTAAGTACCAGGACAAACTAAAGGTCAGTGGATGACTGAATTCTAGGAAAAAAGCTGGAAAATTGTATTAGTACATGTAACTATGACTTTGAGATATAATCCGAGGCAGAAATAGTCTCTCTAATCACCATGAAGGTATACATCATGATACCAGGAATAATTCATCAGGTTTAACCCTGGCCTAGTTAAAATAAACCTAAATATTCGTGCTCCTGTGTTATAAAACAGTTCTGTAACAATACAGATTCTCAGGAAAAAAAGCTTCTGTAGAAGTATACCCTCCAATATAAAGTATAATGCCACCAGGAAAGTAACAAAATGAAGGCTTCTCAGCCTATAAAGCAAAGTACCAGATTCCTGGATGTGACCCAACAAGGTGCTCTACAATTAAGATTGACGTAAAACAGTCAAACCAGTCTTAGCCTTGTAAGACTGATCCCTATCACATTCTGGATTAACAACTGCAAATCATAAATGAACCAGACCTCCTCATGCAAAAAAATATATGTAGTTTGCACTACATAGTTCAATTTTGCACATCTTAAAAAAAAAAGGCCGTTCCAAACTTTCACTCTTGTGCAAGTGCTAGCAACATACTTAATTTTTGTCCTAGAATATGGTTTTACTTCAAAAGGAGATAGGCTGCTCGTTTACTAAAGTTATAAAGCCCAAGGAAGTTAAAGCACAGGAAGAGGGTAAGTACAGTGGTTCATAAAGGAAACCCAAACAAGGGTTGAGCAGTGGACATGAGGCATCAATTTCCTTTATGAATAACAAATTAGGAGACTTAAGTATGACCCTGAAGTTTCTCCATAGAAGCCTGGTTTGTCTTTTGTGGAATTAAACTATTACTTAAAAACCATTTCACAAATCAATAAAACCAACATTTATTGAATACCCATCTCTGTGTTCAGGCATTGAGGAATCAAAAATAAGTCTATCTTTGAGGAATGTTTTAGTGGGAAAACAGACAAAAACTGGAAACCTTCATATTAAAAAAATATTTGGAATATTTTAGCATCCCCTTTTAAAAGGAAAACAGTCTTACCTACAAGGTTCCAAAAGTATTAACTTTCACTTCTCTTTGCCTTTCCAAATGTTTTCCCATTCAGGTTTCAGTGAAAGTTGGGGGCAGGGAACAACTCAGTTGAGGAAAAAATCAGGGACAAAGTAGAGGAACCACTGTATCAGAGGTGTTTCTCAAATTGTAATCATTTTGGTCAGATAAACCATGGCCCCAGGCTGTTTTTGCAGTGTGGTTTCTGGGCTGCCAACATCTGAAGCAAGTAAGAATTTGAAAAAGATCCTCTCCCCTCTGTCTCAACTGAACTCGTATCTGGGTGGAGACGGGAATCTACATTATAAAGCAAGTCAATTGTGTGCACTAAAGGTTAGAAAACCCCCATCCAAGGGGTCTCATATTCTAGGGGAAAATTTTAAGTAAACAACTTTAAAATTATAATTGAAATCTGTAAGATGCTATTTTAGCACAGAAAAAGCATTTTAGTGTTAAAATGCATCTATTATACTTCAAGATGAAACTTAACTTTGTGGTGGTTTCCTGTAACTTAAAATATGATACTTAGGGCCTCTTCTGATGAAAGTTAGGGCTGGTTTCATTTACATTAGATATATTCCTATCACCATATGGTTTCATGAAATTCCACTTTCCTAAAATTCCTTATGCATTCTCTTTTGAGATCCAAGCTAGTCAATACCTGCCTTCTCAACACACCCTTGTCTATGGAGATTTACCTTTAGTAAGGGGCTTGTTGGATTTAGCTCACAGCTAGGTTCAGCTGAAGTATAGAATCAAGCAAAATAAAACAAGCAGGAGAAAAAAATAATTAAGTGGGCCAGAGAAGTCCAACTTTTATTTCCTTACTGCTCAATATGAAGAGAAAATTATCAACGTCCAGATAAAGTATGCTACAATCCACAACACAAACTTGTGGCTACAGCTACACTGCCCATAGTGACAATTTAAATTACATAAAATTAAAAATTCAGTTTAGTCACACCAGCCACATTTCTAGTGCTCAATATTAATATATGGTTAGTGGTTACCATAGCGGATAGCTCGGATAGAGAACATTTCCATTATGACAGAAGTTCTACTGGATAATGCCAATCTAGAGCCCTAGCAAGCATACAAAGAATGGTTTGAGACCAATAATCTATCAAACCTTATAAAGACATCTATGTGTCACTCACTCCATTTTACTTAGTATTGGCTACACATCAAGGAATATACTAGTTTAGTGATACAAGACTCAACAAGAGCCTGTGCTCAGCATAGTTAAGAGAATTTAAACAAGCATTGACAACAATCTGGAAAGAGCTATGATTCAACATGCTTGTTATGAAATCAGGGAAAAGCACTGCTGTTTTATAGGGGAATCTGGCTATTAGAATGATACATCACAGAAGGCAAGAACATAGGGGAGATTAGATTACCTTAACTGAGCCTTAAGTCTTGAAGGGGAACAAGCACCAAGAGTAGAATTCCAGCCAGAATTATCCTACAAAGGGGTATGTCACTATGATTTGGGTAAACAGTAATCAATTCAGTATGAATTAAGCAGAGAAGCCGTGTTGGTGTTTACCTGTGGAAAATTGCGGCAAATGAAAAAGCTGTTAAGAACAAATGAGGTTAGCCTATTGAGGAGCCTCGAATATCACACTACTGGTGATGGAATTCATCCTGTAAGGTGTTACGCCAGTAAAGGAGGTACAGCAGTTATTTCCATGCGCAGGCTGTGTTTTAGGACAATTGTCCTGATACCATGTAAGATGGATCGAAAGAAGATACCGCAGATATAAGCACTAGTTTGGAGGCTATTAGCATCATGGCAACTGAACTCAGTTACTTACTGATGAGAACATAAAAAACAGGATGGATTGAGAGGATATTCCAAGAAGGTAAAAGGGAGATGTTGCTGAACCTCCTGTCCAATTATCAAACAGTAGTCAAGGTCAGAAGTAAAATACCAACTGAGAAAAAAAAGGTAATACTGGGTATGAGTGAGGCCTCTGCTCAGGTTAGGCAGGCTAACTGGGGGTGGAACCAATCTGTCTGGTTTCATGACTCACCGGCCTACCAAAAACAGGAGAAAGCCAATAGCATGTGTGAGGGGACTGGATAAGCAAGCACAACAAACAGAAAATAGAAAACGCGCTCAGAGTATGAGTGAGAGCTGCTAACGTGCCTAACCCCGGAGTTGCAAGGAAGGGGGCCTAAAATTTTAAGATTAAGATTTTAAGTGAAATACTGTATTTTCGGAGTTTAGTAAGGGCCTCAAATGGGGTGGCTATAAAACTCAGTCTGCCTTTAGTCTCTCATTTTATCCCCCCCGGGGGGGGGGAAGCTACAGAAAGGACTTCAATTAAAAATACACATGCAATCTTGCTGTAGTATAGAATCAGTATGCCCTCCATTTTCCTCCTCCACTCCTATTATAATTACTTTGTGATACAAGTCCGTGGGAAGACAAGAGAATTTGGGCTCACCCTCAAAATACTACACCTGCTCAAACCCCTGCAGGACAACGCCCCGGGACCAGGTTAAGCATGGGCAAAAGAATACCGCCCCTAATCTAGAAAGAGGGACTCGACATGGAGGCGATGACGAGATCACGGGGGGAGGGAGCGATTCTTCTAGGCCCAGGGCGGTCCTTAAGAAACTGGAGGCAACAGAAAACTCCCATAAAGGTATTGCGGCACTCCCCTCCCCCTGCCTAAAAGGGTGCGGCCCTCTCCGCCTCAGCCACAGCAGCTCCTTCAGGGTAGCAACTCGCGCCGATTTTCAGAGAACATGCGCCTCCCACCCCTAAACAGCCGAGCCGACCCCTGGCTCCACTCCCCACTCCCACAGGTCCGAGAGCTGGTCGGGGTAGGAGAACCATTCGGGTGGCTGGCGCCCGGGGCGGAGCCGCGGTGCCACCACCCAGAAGTCTCAGCCCAGCAACCCGCCCCCACTTCCAGCGCGCGCTTCCTGCCACGTTGCGCAGGGGCGCGGGGCCAGACACTGCGGCGCTGGGCCTCGGGAAAAGGACGTACCAATGACCGCCTTCCAGCCACCCCCTCCACCCCGTGCAGTGGTTTCGCTCACTTGGGACCCACGCCAATAATAAGGGGCCGTTTCCCATGATTCAGCAACCAATCAGCTGCCGAGTCGGAGCGGCGGGTAAACCGACTCCCCCAAAGGGGAGGGTGGTGGGACGCCCGCACAGGAGTCACTTTCACTGACCCTCCTCCTTGCCGACCCCCCCCCCGTATACCCCCCCGCAAGAGGCCGACCGCACCCGTAGATCCAACTCTCCCCACCTACCTACCCACACAACCCAGGAGGCAACGCGAGAGTTCCTAGGCAGCTACGTACTCCCTCACTAACTGACAAGCCCTTTACTCCAACCAGAACTCAACATTTGTGTTTTCACACGCGGCGGGAGGATGAGCGGCCAATCAGTGGCAAAAGCTAAACAGGAAGCGCTCCTCCCTCTGCAGTAGCAATGGCTCCATCTGGATTCCAGCCTTTTCTACTCCTCCCTCCCCCTCTGGTTGCTGCCGGGCGTGCCTCACTCCCGCCTGCCCCTAACTTCCTCTTTCCCTACCAGTACAACAAAGGTTATTCTCCCAACTTCTCGAGGGAGAAGGGAACCCTCAAGTACCGGTCAAACCACTTTAGCGACCCATTACCGCCCCCCTCCGTAGCCACCAGGCAGACCGACCCCACCAAAGTTCCATTCCCCTACCTAGCCGAGGCTCTCTGAAGAGCCCGAGCTCCAAAGCACAGCCTCTTCTCTAGGCGGCCGCGGCAGCTTCCGCTGATTAGCGGCGAGTTGGCCAATGGGTATGGGGCGGTGGGCGGAGAAGCCAATGGCGCGGCGGGAGGGGGCGTGTCCCAGGTGCCCCTGGCGCCGGCGCTGGTAATCCCCGTGCGGTCAGTGGCGTTTCCGCTCGGGCAGCGGCTGAGTGAGCTGCCGCCGCCGCCGTCGCTGCCGCCGCCGGGGGAGGGGCGGCCGCCGCCCGCTTGCGCTCAGAGACTCACGCAGCCCCAATCCCGCCAGTCCGCCAACACTGTAGTGCCGGCCCCCCCTCCTCCCCTGGCCCTTCCCCCACCCTGCCTTTGGTCGCTCCGCCTTTTTGCCCCCACCCCCACCTCACGGGCACGGGCTATTCCCGGCCAGGAAACGCCGTGGCGCCGCGTTGGGCCTAACTCGAGTCCTGCTGCCTCCCGGGAGTGCCGTGCGCTGCAGCCCGGGCCCAGGCCCCGGCCCCGGCAGCAACTGGGACAAGGTAAGGGTCCGACAGAAAAGAGGGTCCTACTCTCACGACCGGGCCCCGAAGGGAGGGAAGGGTCACCTCCTCCATCTGCCCGCGCTCTCTCTCGGGATGTGGGCCTGGCCCTCCCCGGGCTTTTAGCAGGAGGATGCTGCCCCTTCTCATCTGCCTCGACATGCCTTATACTCCGTTGCATCCCTCTTTCCCAGGGAGAGAGGCCCCCTTAGTAATCTAGTCGACCCCACTACCGTTTTTATGTTTTTTCCTGGGTTAGGACGCTTCCCCTCCCCCAACGTCTCTTCACCCCTTTTCCTGGGAACTGCTTACTCCACGCTTACCTTGATTTCAAGATAAGCCTCTCGCTCTTCTCTTAAAATACACAGGCATACTTTTTTTTCTTCCCCAAACCCCCAACCCCCACCCCAATTTGCGCGGCCTGGTGACACACTGATCGTTCAAAAGGCCTTTATATCCCGTTCATAATGTTTCTGGACGCCTTCCCTATCGTTCTTGGGTCCTCCATCTCAGGTGATTGCTTCCTTTCCCATACTAAAGACATTACCTCTGCCACCCCCCACTTCACATTCTTGGGTTCTCAGTGGCGTCTGCCCCAGTATCTCTGAAATAATCCTATTGAATTTGTAGGGTTCGGGCTTGGAGTTGAGCCAGCTTGTGTCGTTCTTCCAGCCTTGGGTGTGGAGAGCAATCACTTGAGAATGTCTTTAAAGGCAGAAAAATTTACCCTTTATGAATTCCCATTCCCTTTTCGTGGAAGCTAGTGAAGCCAAGTGAATGGCGATGAGAAGTCCTGGTTTTTAAGTAGGTGAATCGCATGAGAGGGAAAGTTTAACTGTTGGGAAAGCCCCCTCTATGCTAATTTATTCTGTAGAGGTCTTTTGCGTGTTTCATTTCTTAGGGATAACTGATCTTTCGGTTGGATACTGAATGCTGCAGCCAGCTCTGCTGGTCTGGGTCAGGGGTGCATATATGACCTGCATTTTCTGCTTTCTCATGTTACTTGTGCAATGTGTTCACCACCACTAACTCATTTCGTGCCCAGATCTCTGGATTCCATTGGGCTTTGTCTATACTTTAGTTCCTTTCTCTCGTTTTCCCCCTGCTTATAGTAAAGAAAGAATCCCCAGGTTCTGTGCTAATTTATTCCATCACTTGACTAAACAAGTTGCTTTTAAATGACTTATTTGTAACCAAGGTCATATTTACATTTTTTGTTGGGCAGATGTTACATAGCTATACTCTTGAGTTTAGCATTGTGAGCTTTTTCAGGAGACTGTACCCCATATTTTGAAAATTTCCTGGTGGTTGATTTTATATCATTAATGTTTTTTTAAGGTCAGAGTTACAAGTTGTAATTTTAGATGTGTGGAATCTAAGCTAGGACTAAAGTAGAGACTATTCACATAATCCGAGGTTTGGGGACCTCTTGGAGGACACAGGAAAAAAATTTTTATTGGATTTCTTCCAATTTTCTCAGTAGGATCATTTGTTTTCTTCTATAGCCAAAAATTCTGCCTGTTATAGGATTATAATCTTTCAGGTTTACTCAGACTGTCATTAAGATACAAAAATGAATTATGTGTTTTGGTAGGGCATGACACAAGGCCTTGTCTCTGGCTGTAAATTTAAATTTGACTGTAAAAAGAGAGCTTGAAAAATTGGCCTTTTAAAGACTAAAGCTTAATCTTCACTCCTAAATTGCTGGCTTAATTAAAATGGGTATTTGGAATTTGGTAAATATTGATTTTTTCTAATAAAAGGCCCTTAGTTTAAAACTGAAAGGGTGACCTTAGGATTGTTTTTTTCTAAAGCGTAATTCCAGCTCTTCTGGCATGGAGTATTGGTCCCAAAAAAAAGTGTGTAAGGAGTGGGGGCGGGGTAAGGAGAAGGTTGTTCCTTTGGGTTGGATCACAGGGGTGAGTATACAGGGCAGCAGCAGCTGCTGGCTCTGGAGCTCTGGTTGCTACGTGAGAAGCTTGAGTAGTGCTGGCTGCTGTCTCCAGGGAAGGACAGCAGTGCAGCGTCCATTAACGCTGTTGGCTGCAGGGAGCTGCACTTAGGCAATGGCTGCTTCAGTACTAAGAAGAAACCTTGCTTTCCTGGGAATTTTCACTGCTGAACTGGTTTGCATTTTATTGGTGAGAGATGAGAATTCATAACCTTCCCATTTATGGATATCAGCATCTGGAAACTGGATCATAGTAGAGACTTTTTAAATTTTTTGTTTGATTTTGTTTTGGGGGCAGACTTTTGGTTTTTTATCTGTAGACTTGTGCTTAAATAGAACTGAAAGTTCCATTGGAGTTTTAATTTTTCAATCTATTTAAAATGAAAGTAATAATTTAAGGGTCTTTCTGAAAACCAGATAGAAAAAATACAGGTTTTTTCCTGTTACTGACATGTTTTTCTCCAATTCTTTAATCATTGATTCAGTTTTAATATTTTGTTACGTGTCTCCTGCCTTTCAGTTTTTGGGCCATATTTACTGTATGGAATAGATATTTTGAAAAACATTTTACTAAATTTGGAATCTTAAACTCGAAACAGAAGTGCCCTTTTCAGAATGATTTGTAAATATAAATCTCAAGTATTTTCTTAATTTCTGTATCGCTAATAGACTTCTCCAGATTAAATTATTTTGGGGGGTTTGATTTATAAAATGGACTCATTATATGTGTGTGTGCGTGTATAAATGTGCATATATTGGATGTAGACCTCCAGGACCACAAGGATGTATGTTTGACAGCGATCCATCTGCACAAAGGCCAGACTAGAAGGAATATTCAGAAATCGGGTAGTGTAGTGTAGTGTACACATGCTTGAGAAGATGGCCTCTTAGTCCCTTAGCCTCTCCTCCCCCACAGTTCCTGTACATTAGGAAGATCTCTGATTGAGCAGAACAGTTTGAGTATGGAAGTACTTGAAGGAGAGCCACCATCCAAATATACCACCAATTTCATACAGTACTTAACTGATGCATTGCTCCCCACCTGAGACTCTTAATGTCCTATATTTTTTTTCCTCAGAATTTGATATGCTTGACTTTTGTGTAAAAATGTACTTTAATTCCACAGTCATTTATAATGTGTGCATGACTGTGGCATTTGTGGCAGGGAACCAAAAAGAATGAGTTTTGTCATTCACGAATGTGGTTTGCATTGTCTCTCAGTGATACACAGTGACTAATAAACAACCTTTCAGAGATAATATTTTTAGGTGCTTCTAATTCTTATTACTATCATGTATAAAAGATGCCATATCAGATAAATATGGTTTCACTCCTGGTAGCTGTTTAACATTTTAGATATAAATGTTTTGTGTTTCAATTACTACATGTTAAAGTTCTTATAAAATAATTGCTTTTTCATTTGTATTTTCTGTTGTTTGGAACCCATTGTGATCTTGATGTAATCATTTGCTGAAAGACCACAGAGGCCTTTTTCACAGGATTTATTTAACCAGTATGCTTGAAAGTTTTTTATTTTCTGATACTGTTTTGTGTCCAGGAACTTAACATACTTTTTGAAGTTACTCTGGCCTTTCTAGGGGGAGAGAGGCTATTTAATTTTGTCTTTGGACAGGAAAATAATATGCAGGCAACAACAACTTCTACTTTGTCCTCTTCATCTCAAAATAATTTATGAAACAGTAGGCCATAGTTAAGGACAGTCAGTGATTATTGGGTACATCTTTCCGTGACAAAGTGGATCATGAATAGAATAAAACTTTCTTGTAACTTTTGGCTCCACTCTTGGTGATTTGTCAGTTTGATTTGAAACTAAAAGGCCTAGCAGTGAAATTTAGTTTATAATTTTTTTCAGTTATTATAAACTAAAACTTTTTGATAGGGATATTTTAAGATAAAAATTACTTTGTAAAATGTGTGAGATAATGTATATTTTAATATAACTGGTATAATTTGATTTAAAATATCCTTTCAGAAGCACTCCTTAAAAAAAATAAATGTAATGTACTTACGGTAAGACAGTGATTGGTACCATTCCTTACAGACAAAAATTCCAAAATATGTGGTGAAGTTATATTTTTTCTTTTTAAAAAAATTTTAGTTATTTTCCAAGTACAGTTTTTTTTGTCTATTTCTCCCATCCCAGCCCCCCCTACCCCTCCCTCCCATTTCTCCCCGCCCCCAGTCCTCATCCCTGTGTCCTTCATACTTGTTCCTCCAAATCCCTCCCCTTTTTCCCCCTTAAATTCCCTTCCCTCTCACCTCTGGTCATTGTCCCCTTGAAATTATATTTTTAACCTTTCACTTGATGCTGTGATTGATTTTGCTTGTAAAAATTCAGGGAAGTTAATGAAAAGTGAGAAAATACTATTTTTTTTAACTTATCAATACATACTTTGTTAGAGTCTTATGAAAAGTATCCTGTTGTATATTCAAGTCTAAATTAAGTAAAAGGTACCCAGTAACTTGGAGATGGAAGATTATTAGAAAGCATTATTTTAGAGAATTCTTATTTTGACAAAATATATTCAAACTCTTTTAACATTTTATGAAGGGAATTTGAAATATAATAAAGGAACGATGAAGCTAAATCTCAGTCTACTTAAATGAGCCCTCACTGAGCAAGGAATTTGTAATCCCATCCTGCCTCACTCAGTTTTTTCCATTATATTGATTTTGTTTGCTGAGGACCTCAGGGAGAGGTGTAAGGGTCACATTAACTATCTTTTATATAAAGACAAGGGAAAGGAATTTTCTGTTTATTGGAATAATATCATATTGTCTTAGTAGCTTTAAAACACTTAGATTGTTGTCCTGTTTTGTTTTATGTATTCGACTGATGGTTTAGTCTGGCTGCTTTCTCTTTTATGCTCTTCTACCTTTGCAATATGAAAATTTTCAGACTTTTGATGGCAAACTGAATAAGAATAATTTTCTTAGCCTTGTTAATTATGTTTGTATACCCAGAGCTGGGAACATTCTTTGACCTGTGTTAGGAATCACAAAAAAGCAGAGGATATAGGAAGTTAAA